TGCTTCATGATAAACAAACGAAAAATGACGGCGAACCTGAAACAGAGAATGCCACGCAGGTCAGAACGTAGCACATCTTGAGCTGTTTCGATGCATTCCAGCGCTTTTGGATAGTCACTCTGATTCAACAACATTTGAACGGTCAATTGTGCATCTCGCAGGCAGGATATATCCTTAATACATGGTTATGTTACGATCAGAACTGAAATACAAACCCATTCCGTGCTCAATTATCATTTCTTTACCATCAGTCAATAGGCAACATATAAAAACGTCACACGTCGAGAAGTTACTTTGGATAACAATTTACATAAACAATCGAACAGAACATAAAACAGATTTTTAACAAGCAACTAACTACCTGCAATTTCTGAAGCAATTTCTCACGCTGCTCTCTCCTCTTGTACAATTCTATGATTTTTACCATTCTCAAGTAAACTTTCTCATTCACCTCTTGGAGATTTTTCCTGAAATATGAACTTTCCTGATGCAAACAACTTCATTCTTATCGCCGTAAAGAAGATAAAGTCCGTCCGTTTAGCTCACAATAAAAATGATTTGATGTGCATGAAATTAAGTTCGCTCAAAAGTATTAAACGGCTAAAAAATGATCAGCAATATCCAATATTAAGCAAAACTAATCCAAAGAATGAATAAATTTAACAAACGCCAATTCGTTAACTTTCCAAAAACTAACCGTAAACATTTGACTTTATTTTGCGCATCATTCAGTTCTCCATATAAACTACCACACGACTTAACCGTTTTCCAAAAAGAGTTCGATTTTGCAGCCAGCTGATTATTCAATCTTGAATCAACAACATCATGGTAATATTCCAGTCGATTCTGAAGTGTTTCATACGATCGAAATACCCGTCCGCGACCCGCATCGAATCGCACGTTTGACTGAAGTGCATAATTCGTTAACACTTCTGCACATTGATTAAAAACATACCAACGAAAGGCTTGATCAACAATGAGCAATCATTAAGCACACTTTCAAAGTGATTATCACACAATTGTCAACATCAATGACAAATTACGACAACATTATTAATGATTCGTAACAGACGATGAGAACAAGGTCAACAAAAGACCTTCTGCGGAGAAGTTCGACTGCGATCGGCTTGTCGTGACGTCTTTGGTGTGCTTTCTGGAGTGGTGTTGTCCTCATCGAACGGATTCGTGCTTGATGAGCATGCGATCGCTGTTTTATCGACCATCCACAATTGATCCTCCGCATCGCCCTGTTTCGGTTCCAAAAATATCGCTTCAAATGTTTCCGAATCGGCCAATGAAAAGTGCGGCGATAGCAGGATCTGTAATAAACTCATGTCGCTCACTCGCATCTAACCATTAACAATTCAGAACGCATTTCTCATAGGAAACACTTGTTGAAAGTTCAAGTTGACACCAAAATAATACACAATTCAAACATGAAATCGTTAATGAATTTGTTTACGCAACTATTTCAAATGAATCGAATCAACGTCCATTAAAGAAGTTAATTTTCGACAAAATCTTAAGAAATCAACCGACAGCCATAATTGGTTTCCTTTAAACGAAACAACAACAAATAAATGAAACCAGCAAGAACTCGAACCGGCGGAACGTCGTTTGTATCAGTTCTTGTGTTCTCTTCACGACGTGTCAAACATCTGCTCAACTCTCTCTTCGCTTTCACATATTTCAAATGTTTCTAAAAATAATCATGTGTTTTCAAATGTTTAAAAAATATCCGTTTCTTTTTTTGGCTAGTGCACTGCATGATTCATGTCCATTCGCATTCCATTCCGTTCATCTAATGATAACTTAGCATCAAATAACTTTGATTTAATCGAATCAGCATTCCATTATTATCGAATACATACAAAAATATTTACAATTATTTTCGACAAAATAATTTCTGTAAATTACCACAAATTTTCATTCCAATTTCTACTTGTCAATTTCTATTTTTTCATTTGTGAATTTAAAAGAAACATTCGCTCAGGAACATTTTCATTTGATGACGTTATCTCAGAATCAATGTGAGCAAGAGTAACTAATAATAACACATCACTCACTCTCATTTTTATATCATTATTTGCTTCATGTGCACACTACTGAATACTCAACTAATCAAAACTGCAGCTGAATAAACCAACGACTGATAATATTAGACTGAAAAGAGACGGGGTCCCTTGGAGAGAAAAGAGCCCCGTCGATGGTGCTCTTTTTCAAGCGAACGTCTCAAACCTTAGCAATTGTATCCAAATAGTTTTTGAAATGTGCCAAATCGATGGCCGGTAAGGCTGGCGATGAAGCGATTCGCGTCTTCGGCACAAACGAATCGCCCCAGTGCCGAGTGAAGAAGGCATGCACCTCAGAGCGAGAACGTTTCGGATCCGACAAAACTGACGACAGATTCTGGGTGAAACTGAAAGCATGCTTCATGCTAAACCGTTGCACTGATTTGTTGCTAACTGAAACGTCTCATTTTCGAATCCGAAAAACCAATGTCAACAATCATATTTACACATGTTATAATTATAATGTTCCAACAAATTACGATGTCGTCATCATTTCACATTCCATCACTAACAACGTTTTACCACATTCCAGAACTCGAAAATTTTACAAAAAGTATAACGAGAAAAAGGTAATCACCGAAAGTCAAGTCAAATTATCACTAATTATTGCGAATGCCAACANCGCTCTCTCTTTGGCGAGTAGATTCCAATGAAAATCTCACGAAATAAAACAGAGTAACAAATGGAAATTTATGCAGAGACAGGTTACGGAATAAATTCCAGTAAAACGAGCAATCATACTCACTGATACAGCAATCAGAGAGCAAAAAATTTTCTCATTCGAATACTTCGACGAACCGTACTGAAACTGCAATGACGCACGATATTGACTGCTTCAGTTCATGCAAATTTTTTGATGTTCATAAAGTCGAGACGAAATGAGATGAATGAGGTGAGGTCAATGTCAGAGATGTTTTTTAACTGTTAAAAACTCACACTTCACTTTTAATATTACTACGGTTATCACTATCGTTGTTATCATTATTACTACTAAGAGTATCACCACTACCACAACTGCTGTTAGGATCACTATCACTATTGTGCAATGCCACAAACCATTTGATATATCAGAAATTGATTTGTACCACTTTAGTTCATCAATATGAGTGCAGTTATTTCTGGTTTTCGTGGAACATCTTAAAACGCTGGCGATACGTACTTAAAAAACAAGTATAACCTGATTATTTATAGTGGCATTCATTTGACGATAAGTTCAACGAATCAATCACCTCGTGAATTGAAATTGTCGAAAACACTGTGAAAAAATTACTTGTTGCTAATGGATTCTCTGATGTATTGCGCGAGTCGATTCCAAACACAATTCCTTGTGAATGTGGTAATAATCGAAGTTAGGTACGCTTCCTATGCATTCTTTTCAACTTTTACATGTTAAATCATTTTAATTCTCACATTTTCCATCAAACTGACTATTGATCATATTTTACTATTCACTTATCATTATTGCTATCAATAATTTAATCAGTTCGTGCACAGTTATCATTATAGCTTCATCTCGTTCCCTATCAACACTGTTACCGTGACGATTGAAGTTCCAATAAACACAGCGATTGTCTTAACAAATATTGGTACTGTAGGACATGATTACTCGTATTTGATAACCTCTACCGCTTTGTCACAGCTAACAATGCCACTGTATTACATTAGTGTGCTGTGCTATGACCATTATCTCTAGCGATCTACTTGAAATAATTATCAGAATCACTTTTATTCGAACCCAAACCTACAAACAAGTGATTTCTTACTTGATCAGCTGATCGATTTTCAATCGCTCTAATTTGCGGCTTCTCTCTTTGCTCCTGCTAAATTTATTTGAAAACGTTCATTCGATAATGCCATTCGCACAGGAATCGTGTGACAGTTGCGAACAAGAATAATGCTCGAAGAGAGGGTGTCAATGCTAAGAGAAATGAACTGGAGGGAGTGTTTCTTTGGTAAGAGAATGCGAAAATGGGCATTCTGGTTTATTGTTGCTTTTCTTTCTGCGTTGACCATGAAGGATGTCATTGAGTTGGTGAGTTCCAATTCCACTCTATCGAATAGCACAACAAAACTCTGATCTAGTCAAATCTTTATCCAAATGTTCATTGAAACTTTGAAACGTTATGGTATCATGTTTTCGAAAGCATCATACCAAATTTCACGTTGAAAAGCTTTGAATTCTGTCGGAAGTATGCAAATTCAGAGCATCAAAACGTTCAGTCGAGAATGAAAATCCATAGATTTCACTACAATCAGACGTTAACTGCGAATAAGCTGACAAACAATGACGAAACTTAAGATTTGGAAATTGTTTACGATTCAGATACTCGAATATGCAGCAAATCCAAAACAATCCGACATGAATATGATGTTCAACGAGTCAATGACAATGCCAAATATCACATTTTGCATGTCTAAGACTCAGGCGTGGAGTCATTTTCACATCAACACCTCGGAATCCACAGATCAATGGGATCAAATCGTACAAGTGAAGAACTTTTTATCAATAGACTCTCTTCTGTTTTTTTTGAGCACTAGCAATTAATCGCATGCTCGTACAATCCAAAAATGATCACAATATGCTTGCAAGACTTATCGGACTAATATGGGCTAAAAAGCTCTCTGATACCGCACCGCAATATTACGTAATAGAACAATATAAGTGGGCGATATAATCTCGGATTTGTGATACGTTCTTAATTTACTTCAAATATATCTGACGTATGTTCGTGATCTGAATTTCATTCGACACACACTCGTGATGTGCTCTTTGTGATCTAACGGTTCATTGCCTATTGCTAAAGTTGAATAAAGTGAATATATGAGTGAACAAAAAATACGTTAATACTATAGTTTCACTTAC